TGGAGGTTCAAAGGTACATCAAGAGGTTCGCCCAGTCAGCCCAACGTGCCATATGTGGGGCGCTGTAACAAACCTCAGGTGCTGCGTGCAATACACAACACCAACAACTTACTTCCTTCTTTTTCCCCTCCTGAGTGGCTCATGATCAGGCAGTTCTTTGGTGCAGGTTGGGCTAAGGTGACTGGAGTCTTTGTCATGACCAGAGTGCAGGTCTCATCTGGTTGTTGAGATCCAGTGAAACATCTGCACACATGAGGGAATTGTAGGAGACAGAGGTGGGTGGGTCAGCAGTCAAGTGGTAGGACCCATCCGTTGCTTCATCCAGCCAGTCTAGGAAGATGTGTGCATGGGTAGTGCAACTGACCACACCAAGCCACACAGCTCCTTTCTCACCAGCAATTGCCACAATGGCTCCATCATCTGGCTTCACTGATGTCAGCTCAAGTGTAGCACTTCCAGTGAGACTGATGGAAGCATTGATGGGCTGATCCAATGGCTCCAGGTCAGAGTGAAGGTCATTCTGAGCATGTTTGTACCCATAAACCCAGCCAAATGGGTCACTGGTGAGCTGCTCTGGAGGTGGCCTATTAAGAGGGAGACAAGATCCTGGTAGGATTTCTTCATCGCCTGGGCCTTGTTGAGCTCAGTGAGGGCAGAGAGGGTATCCTTGAGGATGGTGATTGAGCTGAGCTGGGAGAAGAGGAAGGGGAGAGTCAGAGGGACAGAGGTTGAGGAAGGAATAGGGACCCATCCATGGAGAGGCAGAGGAATGGTAGTCCTTTGTGAACATCTGCACATCTTCTTTGTGACAGGAGAAGCAGAAGACATGAGGCCTGGAGGTTCCCTGAACACCATGGAGAAAGGATCCAGCCAGGATTTGATAGCCCAGCACTCAAGAAGGAATATAGGCTCAGGGCAAAGGTGGGGTGCAGAATACCAGTCCTGCAGACCTTGCTTGAAAGCCTCGACAGTCAGGACCTGTGGATTATACTTCATGCCAATCATGAAGGTTGAGAACATCTGGTCAATATCCTCATGGGTGTGTCCCACAGGCAGGAAGGATATGGTGATTGATTGAAACACCTTGTTGAACACCAGCCAGTGACAGTAGGCCAGCATGTACTTGTTCTTGTTCTCCCAGCTGCAGTTGTCGAACTGTAGGTAGAGAGTTGATGGATGAAGTCCTGCTGCAGGAATAGCTAAGTGAAGGGTGAGGTGATGGTGCAGCAGAGACATGGCAAAGTCAGGACCACAGCTGAACTGGCCCTGGTGTAGGTACAGGGAGCGGCGGTGAAGGCCATGGTTGATAAATCCATGAATGCCAAGCTTGTAGAGGTGAAGGTCTTTCCAGGCCAAGGGCAGAGGCACTAGGAGAGGTAGAATGACATCAGTTGAACCATCCATGATAATCAACAAGGTTGCACTGGGATCAGCAACAGCCTCCTGTTGGTGGAGGTGATAAGCTTTCTGCTCTGCCTTGACAAGCTTGAGGTGATCCAGCTTCCACTGCTTCAGCTGCACCTGCTCTCTTGTGCTCATTGTCTGGTTGGTGAGGGTGTCATTTGTTGAGGCACAGATATTGCACTGCCTGAGGATGCAGAACTGAGGGAACTTGATGTGCCTGTGTTCACCTTTGAACATCTTATGGAAGTGAGTGAGACTCAACAGCTTTGCCTGGGTGAAGTGCTGGGCGTTCAAGGCATCTGAGTATTTCTGGTAGAGGTGATCCTTGGTCATGATCATTGGCATGTAGATGGAGGTCGAGTTGGGAGCATGACAGCCATACTGGAGTAAGGGAGAAGGTGAGCAAAACAGGTGATGAGTATCATGTACACATACACAATAAAAACACTGGTGATTTATGGTAGTTGTGAGCATGATTAATGAGGATATTCTATTGTGTATGTGTACATGATAGATAAGGGAAGTAATACCATGTTGGTGTACATGGTTATCCATGTGCTGGCCCAAGCTGTAGTGTCCGTGGAGGTCCTTCCAGTTTGAAGAGTATCCATGATGGAGAAGTTGGCCATTTTGTTCTTGGAGATTCTGTAAGCAAGCAATGAACGCCTGCCTGCAAACACACTACTGGCGTAGTGAGGAAGCTATCTCCAATGAGCTGTAGTATGGACAATACCTGATGATGTAAATGGTAGAGTTGATGGTGGAGTGGTTGGTTCTCCATCAATGTCCTCAGCCATTGGCATGAAGCTTGGCATGAGATATTGGATGTGGCATGCTTGTATCTGTGATACATTGAACTTGTGCAGACAGAGCACAGAACAGCAGGGACTTGTGATGATCTGATTAAAGTCCAATGCCTCAACTGTTGAAAGCACTTTTGCTGCTGGCTGTGGTCAGTGGTCCACTGAATCCATGATCTGCTGGCTGGATGTAGCCAGCTGACCAGTATCATCACTGCACACATCCAGAATGAGGGATAAAGGAATCTCAAGTACTGGTGTTGCAGTGAGATCACTTAGATCCTCAGAATCACTCCCCAAGTGTGTGTCAGGGATGTCATGTACGTTTTCAAAAAAAGAGTCAAAATGCCTGTAAGAAAAAAGAGATGATTTCAGACAGGATAGTTATTGCATATGTGTATGTGACGATTTTGTGCATGCAAGTGGAGAAATGAAAATGATGTAAATGTAGTTAAATCACATACATGTATGTGATGATAAAATAGGAATGAAGACAGTGAAATTTCAGAGTGGGCTGTCACCATTGGTGGCCTTGAGCCTAACACTTTTTAGAAATGTCTGCAAAAAATCTCATTGGTTGAGCATAGTCCTTTTAAGGCTGAACATGGTACAATGGTCATTATTCTTTTCCAACCTACACACAACAACATGAGTGACAACCTTACCCAGTCTGCAAGTGGCATTCCATCCATGGTAACAACCTGCCACAATGCAGCTGAGCTTGCCAAGTGGATGGTCAAGCAACTGGAGTGGAAGAAGTGGAAGGAGAGCGACCTCAAGAAGAAGAGCCTCAGCGAACTTCAAAACATGTGCACAGTACATCAATAGCACAGTTTGTTTAATGAAAGTAGTGTGATTTAATGGAATCATGTGTCTTCTGCTTCAGAATTACTTTGCAAGTGTGGCAGAGGTGGAGAAGAACAAGGCAAAACCAACTGAATTGGTATGCACCATCCCATTGTGTACATGTACATGATGAAATCTTATTAGCATTTATAGACACAATTTCATCGCATATGTGTATGCAATGAAATATCATTTTAAATATACAATACAACTAATTTATGCCATCCTTTCCTTTCATGGTGTCCTCTCATCATAATAACAGTTGTTTCATTATAATCCATATTTCCATTCTATTCAACAATATTGACTCTTATAATCAATTATAACCACCATTTTATATAAGTAATATATCATGTACACATATGTGATAGAACAACTTATATATTCTCATCAATGAAGCTTGTTCTTGACTCTCAGCAGACCATACCTGAGACTCAAGAGCAAGAAGCTGAAAAAAATAGCACCACTGGAGCCAGCTCCACCACAGAGATGTCACAAGATTTGCTCAGAGCACCTGAGGTAAGTGTGTTTGATTTTGAATGAAATGTAGTCCTTTATAAATCTCACTAATCCTGTACTTTCTTCAGGTTGATGTGACAGCCCAAACAACATCTGCCAGTGAGGAGCAAGTAACCCTGCCAACTGCCATGGTGACTGATGAGGAGCTGTTGAAGCTCCTGAAGGAGGTATGCTTTTCATGCTGTTTGTGAAGCCAATTATGCACCACAACTGCAGGACGTTCTATTGTGTATGTGTACATGATAGAATGTTTGCTAATTCATCTCCTCCTAGCCCACAGAAGAGGAGCTCTCCATGCCTCCAGAGGAGGCCCTCCTCAAGTGTTATGGTGTCCTCTGTGTGGATCATGTGAAGATGAACACTGTGATGATTGACATTGACTGAATGATGAAGAGTGGCACTCATTGGTTGGTGACTGCTAGAGGACACAGAGTTCTCTCAATGTTGATGAATGAGATGGGTGTTCTGACGATGGAGTGTCTGCTTGTTCAAGAGCTGCCTCCCTCTCAGTGCATCCTCAAAGATGGGATGCCTGAGTACTGCATCATCAACAGCAATCATCACATTCAGACTGCACAGTGGCTTTTCCCTGGGAAGTCTTTGTAGCCTTCTTCCAGTACTGTGACACCCTACACACCAACAAGTTCTGGACCACTACTCAAGGTGAGCAAGCCATTGACTGGAAGAAGCTCATCAGCTCAATGGTACATTTCGTTGTGTATGTGTATGTGATAAAACTTTTGAGATGAGTTGGAGTGAGCACTTGTCATGGAGGTTCAAAAGGTACATCAAGAGGTCACCAGCATCATGAAGAAGTTCCTCAACATCAACAGTTGGCCCAAGAGTGCCGCCTACCTCAAGAATTTGTATGCCAAATCCAAAGAACCCATGCCAATCACGCCCCTCTATCTTTGCAATCACTCAATTTCCAATCCAATTCTGCTTCATGTCCTCAAGCACATCTCAACTGAACAGCACAAGCAGATCCAAGCAGGCAACAAGTACAAGATCAGCAAGAACGGTATGCTCCCCACCAGTATTTCTTATAACTATCCTGTTGTGCTGACTGTACTCTCTTCCAGCCTTCAAGGAGCTCCTCATTGCCTGCCAGAGATGTGTTGAGTTCCTGAGCAAGGCAAGAAGGTGGCTACATGCCTCATGGATAGGGACTTCATCCACCTCAAGAACAAGGTGGCTACTGGAGAGTGGGTATGTTCTCCTTTTGCATAGTTCTTTCATTGTGTATGTGTATGTGATGAATTGTAGTTGATATATGCTCCATTATTTTCATTGTGTATGTGTATGTGATGAATTGCAGTTGATATATGCCAATCTAATTGCTTGCTTTACATTAGGATCATCACATTGCCTGTGACCAGGAGCAACTTCTTCTGATCCTTAGCAATCCACACATCAAAATCGAAGACATTATCCAAGAGTTGCAAGAGAGGATTCAAAAGGAGAAAGAGGAGAAGGAGAAAGCTGAAGAAAAGGAGAAACGTAGAGTGAAGGCTAAAGGTAAGAGGAAATCCACTGACTTGGCAGAAGAACCTTTTGAGCCAGCACAAACACACAACAAAACCAGATCCAACCAGAAGCTCCTCCACAAGTGCATCAAACAGCTCCAGGTCACTCACACAAATCCCAAGCTAGTCAACATCATCCTGTGCAACATCTCCATTGATGCATCCACTCACCACTGGGATCAGCACAGGCTGAACCAGATGATGGGTTACACCAATCTGAATTGATGTGGTATGACTGCTCTCCAAATCAAGGCTCATGTGTTTGATTACTAACCTGTCTCACCACACAGACTGCTTTGCTACTGTCCTGACAACCAATATGCTGGAAATGGCAGCTCTTCTCAACCTCCTTGCCAACAAGAATAGCCCCTGGCAGCTTCTGCATCTCATCTCAGGGAGCATCCCCAACATCTGCTCCAAGAGCGCCAGTGGGGTCCAACACAATGGTACATTGCATTGTGTATGTGTATGTGATGACTTATTGCTCTTCATTACCCCTTCCACAGCTTACTCCTTTTTAGAAATATGCTGACATCACATACACATACACAATACTCATGCAGGCCTATACACCATCTTCATTGGTTGAGTGAACAAGTCCTATACCTTCAATCCAGAGTTGCTGCTGGTCCAGGACATTGCCAAGATTCCCAAGCTCATGGCCTACAAGAAGCCCTCCCTCATCAAGAGGTGGAACCTGAAGTGGGTCCACATTGCTCCTCAGTGCATCAACTGAGTATGTATTTTGCTCATGTAACTTGGTGGCACATGCTCTTCTCACCTGCTTTCCTACCAACAATAGGTCATGTCTTCTATCAGCTTGTCCTCACTGCCTACGCCTCAAGCACCAAACCACGAAGTGTTCTTGACTACACTCCACTTCATGCTACTCCACTTCATGCCTGCTTCCATCTCAACTTCAGCTACCATATCAACAGAGCTTCAGCACAACCAAACGAAACCAAGACCAACATCATCACAAGTGCTATTGACAGCATCCCCATTCACTCCAACCCATCTGACATCACATCCTGGGCTACAGCAGCCCAGACAGTGGCACATCAACTCACCTCATCCAGTACCTCCACTTCTTCTCGACCTTCACCCCATTCTTCCACAGCATCAGCTCCTAGCACCCCTACACAGGTTTTCATTCACCCATGCCCTTTTTTCATCACATACACATACACAATGAAATATATCACTGACTCTCAAAATCAACAGCAGTCCCAGCTCTCCACAACCCCTCACTCAGAACCATCACACAAGAGAAAGCATCAAGATCATGAGGATACTGACACCCACCCCCACAGACACAGCAGTGCCCACAACAACCACCACAAGCACAGCCATGGATGCAACACAAGCACCACAAGAGCAGGAGCCAGAGCAGGAGCTGGAGCAGGGACAGAAGCCACAACTCTGACATTGACCAATTGCCTGACCTTGGGTCACTTTCCCCTTTCCACTCTGGTTCTGATGTGGATAGGAGTGAATACTAAACTCTGTCTTTCCAATCTTTCCAACTTTTAAAATAAACTCCTTTGTTCACTTCCCAATTCATCAAAAAAAGCTTCCTCCTCTAGGTGTGTGCTCAATGACAATAGCCACCATGCCAATAAAATAAAGAACACTGGCTACCCCAGTAATCCTCACATTATGCCAACCACACCAAACTAATTTGACTTTGACTGCTGGCCCTGTTACAGTATCATATCTCTCATTATGATGGATTTTTGATCTGCCATATCTCAAGATGCATCCAATTTTGTGATGTTATTGTTAAAATAAAACCATTTTTGTGTTATCAAAACCATTTTTATGAGCTTAAACTCACAAACAAAATCACTTTTCAAAATGACTGGACCTCTCATTTCAAATGACCACAAGTTCCACCTTGTTTTGTGTGAGTGCTACCTCAAAATGTACCTTGCCTTTGCTTTAATTCCCTCCATCAATTCCATAATCAGTGGCCAACATGTCACTCCCACATCCAGTTCATGGTCAACCTCACACCATATTCAGTCAGTTGCACACATGGACTGAACTTCATTTGTGCTGAATTGGAGCACTATTCCTGAAGATAAACTTCCACCACAACAAAGCTCCATCTCACACTTTTAACTCCACACATTCCAAGTTTTTGTGACCTCTCATTTCAAATGACCACAAGTTCTTTACTGATGGCCCAGTTACAGCATTTTCTCTCTTATAATTATGGTATTTTAATCTGCCATTTCTCAACATGCTCCCAATTTTGAGTATGCAGGTAGATGAAGGTTAAAGGTTAAGGTTCACAACACCTTCTTGCCCAAAACCTCACCACCCTCACCCAATCCCTTGGACCAGATGGCCCCTGAGGTGATGTGGTGACTTCAACATGGGAAACAAAGAAAAAAAAGATAAATAAATCAAAAATGTTCTGTAACTCCAGGCACTGTTCTACATGTAAAATTTTGTGGGAAGCTGAAACCACACTGAAACGTTTGAGAGGGTACGAAACTTGGAAAAAATGACTTGTCAGGGGCGCGAGGCTCTGTGACCCCCACTTTTTACACGCGAAATCCTCTACTATGTTCAGTTTTTTCCGGCTTTTGGAACGCTTCCAAAATTTCGGAAACAGCCCACCATTTTTCATTCCAATTCGCGGCGTGGTGGCCGGTTATTGTGTGGTGCGGTCGCGCACCCAAAATCAACCGTTCGTAACGGACAAGCCCTTTTGGCGCGAAACATCGTGCGTAAAAAAAAACGCCTTGCGCAACCTGCTGTTCGCTACCCAACCTCCAAGGCTGCCTCTCCCACTAAACCTGCTTACTCTCGAATCGAGTCGATTTGAAGATCGCGCAGCAGCTTGAAGGCAATTATTCGAACACCTACCAATCAAAGATGTTGAGCAGAGCAGCCAAGGTTCGCTTCCGCGACGAGAACCAGACCACCGCGGAGGAGGCCCTCAAGGACGCGATGAACAAGCGACCCCTCAAGCGCGCCAAGCTTCCCGCGACCAGCGATGCGGCGGCGACCAAGAAGCGTGCGGCGCTCGGGGATCTCTCCAACACTTCGTCCATCCTCGGTGCCGCTCTCAATGGCGCGAAGAAATCCGCGCTCGAGTCGTCTACCACCAAATCGGCCAAGGTAACCCTCACCATCTCGGACAAGGAGAACTCGACCAAGGGCCTCAACGACAAGGAGCGTGCACTTCGATCAACGGTCGCTGGACTCACCACGTCGCTCGGTAAGACATCCTCCACCCTCGGGCTTCCTCGCGCTACCATCAAGGGACCCTCTGCTACATCGACCGTGCTCAAGGCGGCCACCAGCTCGTCGAATATGACGACTTCGGGCGCATCTCGAACGCTTCTCAAGGCCAAGCGGGCGACATCGGCCGTCGTGCAGGTCAAATCGTCGACTCAGTCGACTCGCCTCGTCGCCTCGGAGAAGATCCGCCACACGAGCCGCGATGAGATGGAGGTAGTGCTCGACAAGAGCAAGGAGGAGATGAGCGAGGAATCCGAATCCGAATCCGAAGATGAGGAGACGTCGGCGGGAGCGAACAAGACCGTCATCCACCGAACGATCAGATCAGATGATACCGAGAGCTCGGAGGAGGCCGCCGCGCAGCAGCGAGAGCCGCGTCTGTCGACGACCCACCTCTTGAGCAACATCTTCGCCGGGGTCGATCTCGAGGAGGTCGAGGACATCGACGCCGACGACAGGGACGACCCGCTGCAGTGCATCGACCTGGTCGACGACATCTTCACCGTCCTGCGCCAGCGTGAGATCAAGGAGCGACCCAACCCCAACTACATGAGCCTCCAGCAGAGCATCAACGCCAAGATGCGAGGCATCCTCGCCGACTGGATGATCGACGTGGGCTCCACCTTCACGCTCCTCTCCGAGACCGTCTTCCTCGGCGTGCGCCTGATGGACATGTTCCTCTCAAGGAAGCAGGTCTCGCGCGAGCGCATGCAGCTGGTCGGCATCGCCTCCCTCGTCATCGCTTCCAAGTTCGAGGAGATCCGCTCGCCCTTCATCGAGGACTGGATTTGGATCTCGGACGAGGCCTACACTCGCGACCAGATCCTCCGCATGGAGAAGATCATGCTCGAGGTTCTCGACTTCAACATGGGCACTCCCACTCCTCTCCACTTTCTCCGACGGTTCTCCAAGGTACGCATAGCTCGCTCGCTAGCTCGATCAGTAGAGTCTCCATCAGCTCTCGTTCGCGGTCTCTTACGTCCACTCCTTTTTCGATCGTTTAGGCTGCAAGGTCAGACGCGATGACGCACACTCTTTCCAAGTACCTCACCGAGCTGAGCATGCCCGAGTACACGATGCTGCGCTTCTCTCCGTCCACCATCGCCGCTGCGGCTGTCTTCCTCGCGAGGAAGATGACTGGCAAGTCGCCCACCTGGGTACGTTTACGAATACGAAGTCTCAGCTCAGTCTTAGCTCAGAAGATCTTTAGCTTACGCTAGCGCTGTCGCTTTCAACTACAGAACAAGACGCTTCAGCACTACACCAAGTATGCCGCTAGCGACCTGACCCAGTGCGCGATGATGCTCAACGAGCTTCACACGTCGCCAAAGGAGGGAACGGACCTCTGGTTCGTGGCGGTCAAGAAGAAGTATGCCAACGAGGGGCTCCTCGCGGTGTCGACCATCCCCGGCACGACGTTCGACTAGTCGAGATCAGACAACCTCAACCGAACCAACGAAGGACGGAAAACGAACGGCGCACGTGATGACCCACTCCGCCTCCTTCGCTCTCACTTTTTTTGCTCGTCGACCAAGTGTGGAGGCCAGCTGCTTCCTCTCTTCGCCGTCTTTCTCTTCTCTTCTCCTCTTCTCTTCGTCTTTACACCAGTCGCACTCTCGTTGTATAGTACCGCCACCCGGGTGTTTGGGATGCTGTGTAGGGTCCTACCGCGGTGGTGCAGCGAATAAACGAATAAGTTATCCATACATTCTTAGCTCTCTCTTTCATCTTTTTCATCGCCGTCTGCTTCCCGAACATCAGTTGTTATTGGTAGGGAAGTTGCAGTAACGGTGGCATTGACGATCGCTCATTTCTCGGCTTCGCGCATGGCCTGCACCTCCTCGGCGCACTTGCGGCAGGCCACGTCGTTGTCGAGCACGTAGCACTCCTCGCCTAGGGCGACGTTGCATCGCAGGCACGTGTGGCACCCCTGGTGGTAGTGCCTGTCGTTGACGATGAGGCACTCGTTCACGCACCTCGTGCAGCGTTGGTT